TCTTACTAATAATGATAATAAATAATATAATAATATCTTACTAATAATGATAATAAATAATATAATAATATCTGACTAATAATGATAATGAATAATATAATGATATCTTACTAATAATGATAATAAACAATATAATATCTTATTAATAATGATAATAATAACGGTAACAACAATAACATAAATAATAAAAGCACTAATTGTGAACGTTAAACACAATCATACGAAACCTACTACAGATGATTTACTCATGTTTGAAAACTCATTATAACAGATACACCTAATTCGAATAAATATCTAACTAAAATCAAGAAGGCACTCACTATCGGACGTTACAATCTGAACAGCGATATGAACTGAACTGAAAAAAAAAAACAACCGAAACACTGTTCCAATGCACCGTTCGCATTCCTCAATGACCCCTAGCAATTCAATATTTCACAGAAATTAATGAATAAAATTTATAGTCAAAAAAGAAATCCTCATTTCGCATACATCAAATGTATTTTAATGAGAACAATAGCGTTTTGCGCAGTGAAAGAATTTCATAGCAATACTCAACACTACATGTAAGCCAAATAATGATGTATAATCTATTCACATTAAATGTGGATTTCAGGAAAGGCAACATATTCACTTATGAAACTGATGCTATTTCAAATGAAACGCAACCATTGCACATGAAAATGCTATCCCACAAAATCAATATTCATTCGAAAAGACTTCGTAACAAAGCAACAACTGAACTGGATAGAAATCACGAAAAAAACGGACATTTTGGGAACATTCGAACGGCATTCAATTCCTAAAATGACTTAATCGGTGCAATACCAATAATGAAGTTTCCTTCATTACTGCTATCGTTTGTTCCAATCATCAATAATTTCGTTTACTTTATTCAAATGAAGAATAATTCACAATGAAGAAAAGCATGCATATACATATATATCTATCTCATCAGTAACATTCATTTAAAGTAACTTCAGATTTCCAGTTACTGTATCGACAGTTTCAGAAGGTCCGAATACACCCAGAACGGTTCGCGAACCTGCTGGTATCTGCGTTCGACCCGCATCAGACACCACATAAACAAATAGACCCTTCAACATTTTAAATGTGATAAATCAAATAACCGTTACACTCGAAAAACATAAAACAGCTACAACTTACGATATCTTTTGCCTGTTTGAATAAATCCAACAATTGCTCAGTGCTTTCTCCTTTGACTACCACTTTCATTTCACCCCTCAAACGCCACNTTTATAAAAGCAATACATCAAATCAAACAAATGGCTAACCAATAAATCAAACAACGAAATTTACCTCTTCACTTTTCTGCGCACATCGATAAACGCCAAGTGTGGCATGTCCAACTTGCGCAGCCATTTTACCATTGCCCATTTTCAGACTCATATTAACGACGAAGACCATTTTATGTGGCTGACAGACTGCAGCTAATGACGATTGCGCACCTTTAAATTTTATTCATTTGTGAATTCAAATATCAAAACTACACAAATTTAGTGAACGACGATACCGAAAAGGCTACAGCACCAACAATTTATCGCACTGAACCGGTCAGATCGATACTGACAGGCACGCCGAATAATGCCATGCAATTCAAATACGAATACTTTAGATAATAGTTCACATCTGCTTTCATATGGTATTGACAGCAGTAATAATAACAATGAAATATTTACCTCCCATATCGTCCAATTCTTCTCCGTTTTCAGATTCAAAATCGCTTTCGTTACTATGCTCTAGAATCCAGTTAACAGCTGCTTCTGTTCCTCCCACACCTATAACAATCACAGAGAATAATAAAATTCTGTTCTAGAATCAGTCGATGCATTGAAACACTTACAACTCAAAATAGAGAAAAATAATATAGATTATGCAAGTATTAGAGCAGAGACAGGTAGCAATCAAACCTTTTGTTTTGAATAACGCTAATATAGCGATAGATTCTTCGAAGCCAAGTTCAACAATTTGACGAAGTACAATCGGATCAACAAGATCTTCTTCTTTGATTTCTGGATCAGCTGGATGAGTGGCACTACTCGATGATGGCACTTGAATCGCCCTTTGGGCTGGCGGTATCGGGTCTGTGGGATTTGAAGTTACTAAAAACTTCAGATGTACAATTGCTCAATCAGTGAGTGGAATTATTATCAACAACATCGCATTGGCATAACAAATCAATGATAACAACCGTTACAACGCCAATGACAATAAAANTACATGAATTAGACGATAAATTGACGGTAAGTGAAGTTGGATCTATGAAATCTGGAAGAGACGGATTATTGCTTGTGGAGAAATGGGATGAAGGAGCACTGGCGAGTAGAGTGCTGGTTGCTGTTGAAGATGACGGAGTCGTATGGGTGTTCGGGTCTGAGATGGTTGCTGGATGATCTGTGCCTAGAGTTGAATTTGCTGACAATTCAGAGGAGTGTGCTTGCGGACGCGACTGATGACGATTGTCGCTATTGATCGATGGATCTGTTACTGAATTTAGGCCTGAAACTTCTGCATCCATCGACTCACCGGTTGTTACTCATTAAATCAGCGATTACAATTCAAATGTGCTCAGTAAATATCTCTACTTTACCAACAACATTAGTTCTATCATTCACCTTTCGAAGCTTTCTTTCTGCACAACAGCCGAAAGAGACTCATCAGTTTATGGAAAAAATGACCATATTTCTCAGCCTTTTAATTGATCGCTAGTTCAGTGAACTCAGACTCAGTCAATGGTTGAGCTCGTTTAATTTTATCGATCAATGTTACAGCAAAGCACTCAATTGCCTCTCACTGCCAATTCATCAACTGTCAATAAATTTCCACTTGAAGAGAGGAAATCCGACGTCAAAACTCGCACGAAAAGAATTCCTCCACATTTTTGCAATCGCAACACTAATTTAAAGAACAAATGAGTGTCTAAACAAGCAAACGAAACTGAGTAAATAGCTGAATTGACTATTTACCAGTGGCACTCGATGAGGACAGCTGAGGTTCGATGTTCGAAAAAGACGCTACAGTGGACGGAGCTCGGTCGCTACCGTGAACTGCGATTGTGCTCGTATTTGGTGCACTCGGAGGCGGGGGTGGGATGTCTGAATTGTCGCCAGATGACCGGACACGATGCGCGCTTCAAATGATATTTAAGATCGATAAAAATGAATAAGTACCACCAATAAATGATAATGAATAAATCTGAGAATGGATCAAACATAATAAACAATGAATTTATCAATACGCAAAACTCTAACTTATCAAGTGGATCTTCGGATAATTCGTCAGACATCTATTTATTGATGCGATTGACACTTTTGCTGCGTTTCCTACAGTTCCTCTCCGCCTTTCAGTACCGTTCTTCTACGTTTCGCAAGACTTTCTTCACGTTTTCTCCTAAACGTTAAGCAGATATTTTAAATTTTTGATATTTTCAGATATTTTTCTGAATCACTCTAAACTTTCACATCCTAAAGCAGTCACAAGCTTATCGAGCAACAATTAGTATCAAAAACACCCATAATGTACAATTTATACAATCAAATCGTTAGAAATTTTCCGAGAAAAGCCAAACACCAAAATTCGTTTCGTTTTAGTACCATCGAAGAAAGAGATAATATGGAGTAATCCAAATTCCCATCACTGTGAGAGATGTCAGCAAAACCTCACTTAGCTTCGAGGAATTCAGAATTATCCTCAAATTCACGTGGTCCACGAATGTTTTCCCAATGCTCCGTGTCTAATTCCTCGACTTCCTAAAAATATAACCTCTCACTCTTTATTTTTCAGATAATTTTATGATCCGAAAATTGTGAACAGTTCATATTGCAATAAAAAAATACGAAGACAATTCATGAAATTATACATATATATGAACCAAACAAAAACCTTTAGAACACTGTCGATTGAAACGTTTTTCTTCACTNGAATACCAAGACCACTGAGATCTTCTTTCTAAAACAAGAATGACATCGTAATCACACCAATAATTATTATGATAAAGATAAGGTTATTTCCAACACTGGTGAGAGCAAAAAAGTGAATGATGACTTCGCTTCGATTTACGATTACTTTTCAGTGATAATAGTGTGTACAGCTGCATGCAATCCTGAGCTTAAACAACGTGAACACGACTAATTCATGAACAATAACTTCAAAATTGCGCACGATCGATATGCAAACAGAAACCAAACATGAGATAATAGTTGTTTGTTTGGTAAACAACGAAAACGCAAAAGGAAAGCACAAATAAGAGAAACAGCCAAAAACTACTAACCAATAACTCGCAATTTGTTTCGATACGTTTCGATTTACGGAAGTCGAATCTAACTTGTTGTACGAAGTACAGACCAACAGTACCTCCGGCAATAATCGACAGGAATGGCAAACCTTTCAGAAAGAACTTCACACCCCCAAATCTATTCATAAATAAACATCCACAAATCAACTTCAGCAAACTCTTGACGACGAATTCACTTTAAGTGATTAAAACGCAACCACCATTCAATGTTACTCCGTATGTAACCCTTTGCCAAAATTCAATGAAATGAAAGATACGACCGCCCAATGTTAACTTCATTGCGCTCTGGCCTCTCATATAAGAGAAATGTGCATTATTACAGTAACACAGTGAATGGAGAATTGCCTTCGAACACGGAGAATTGCTCACAATCAGCACTCAAATGTCGATTTTGTTAAGAAGACGACTGACTCTCACTTAAGAAAACAAGAAACATTATCAAAAGAAGGGGTTGTCTGCGGAACTCCGCAAAATCCATGGGGAACATCTGTTTACCTGGATTACCTGGATTGATCAGGCTATCAAACGTTTACAACGTTGCTGGCCCAACAATGCTCGCGTTTCCGTGCGCATTGTTTTAGACTCAATT